GGCTGAAGCTGTTAACACAGCTTGCTATACTCAAAATAGGAGTATGATTTATAAAAGGCACAACAAAACTCCCTATGAACTGTGGAACGGGAGAAAGCCTAATATATCATATTTCCATATTTTTGGGAGCAAGTGCTTTGTGTTAAACAACGGGAAGAATCATCTGAACACTTTTGATGAGAAATCAGATGAGGCCATCTTCCTAGGATATTCCATGGTGAGCAAGGCATTCAGAGTTTTCAACAAAAGAACCATGATCACTGAAGAGTCAATACATGTCATTTTTGATGAAAAACATGTGGTTGACAAGCCATCAAAGCATGATCATGAGGTGTTGGATCTATCAGACAAGGATGAAGAAGTCAATGAAGGAGATAGAATGAAGCCCACGGAGTTCATTCCATTCAGAAGTCTACCACTGAAGACTTCACAGAGAAATCCGGATTCAGACAGTGCTGAGCCTTCCAAAAATTTTGGCCAGCCTTCCAACATCCCGGATCTCTCAAACGGCGACAATTCCGGAAATGGCGACCTAGTGCCAATCCATCCGGAAACACAAACAACTTCTGTTCTTCAACCAGAAGCTGAACTAGATCAACCAGTCAATCCCAATCAACACAATCTTCGTTGGTTAAGGGATCATCCTCCTCAACAGATCATTGGAGATATTCAATCTGGTGTTCGCACAAGGAGTGCCCAACAGAATCTAGAAGTTATGCTTGCTTGTTTCATCTCACAAGTAGAACCAAAGAATATTGAAGAAGCTCTAGCTGATTCTGACTGGATCAATGCAATGCAAGAAGAACTCAACCAATTCTCCAGAAATGACGTCTGGAAACTTGTTCCCAGACCTACTCATCAACATGTCATTGGGAGAAAGTGGGTCTTTCGGAACAAGATGGATGAAAATGGCGTTGTTGTCAGAAACAAAGCCCGGCTAGTTGCAAAAGTATATTGTCAAGAAGAAGGTATAGATTTTGATGAAACCTTCGCTCCAGTTGCTAGACTTGAAGCTATAAGGCTGTTTCTAGCCTTTGCTGCTCATAAGGACTTCAAGGTCTACCAAATGGATGTCAAAAGCGCATTTCTCAACGGAAACCTCGAGGAAGAAGTTTATGTGGAACAACCTCTAGGATTTGAGCTACACACTAAGGGAGATCAAGTGTATAGACTCAAAAAGGCGCTATATGGACTCAAACAAGCACCAAGAGCTTGGTATGATACATTGTCTCAATTTCTTATAGACAATGGATTTACCAAAGGAGTCATTGACAAGACATTGTTCAAAATACAAGATGGTGAAGATCTCTTATTGGTCCAAATCTATGTGGATGACATCATATTTGGCTGAACTAAGGAAGATCTATGCACTAAGTTCTCAACCCTCATGCAAGGAAAATTTGAGATGAGCATGATGGGAGAACTCAACTACTTCCTTGGCCTTCAAATCAAACAGAGAAGTGAAGGCACTCTCATCAATCAAGCCAAGTATACAAGGGATCTTATCAAGAAGTTCAAAGTTGATCAGAAGTCATCCGTTTCTATCCCCATGAGTACATCCACCAAGCTTGATATGGATGTAGATGGAAAGGATGTAGATCAAACTCTCTACAGAGGAATTGTCGGATCTCTACTTTACCTTACTGCAAGCCGTCCGGATATCTCATATGCAGTAGGTGTTTGTGCCAGATTCCAGTCAAAGCCAAAGGAAAGTCATTTGATAGCAGCTAAAAGAATTCTTAGATACCTCAAAGGAACTCAGAACATGGGTTTGTGGTATGCTAAAAGCAATTCAT